TTATAAAAAACATTGTCTTAAGTGTTTGATACATATTCCTAATCGAAATAAAAACTAAGGAATAATTGGAGAAAACAACTTACAACAAAAGAAAAACATGGCCCCTCTTTCAGTTAAGGAATTTGCCATATGATCAGGGAAATTATAAATTTCCTGCTAATGCCAGGTTTTGGTAATGTGCGCTGATATAACGACCATCCAAACTTGAAGTCAGGATGGTTGGGAGAATTTAGTTTACTTGCCTACAGTTCGCTACCTCTGTTGACGTTCATCTTGTAATACTGTTTACGTCACAGTCAGGTGATGAGCGAATTGCCATTGAGAGGAAAGCACGAGAAGTAGCAGAGGAAAGGTTAAGGAGAGTCATGCAAGAGGCTGAAACCAGGTACGTTATCAACATGGAAATTCTCATAACGATGTTACATTGTCATGCACTGATACAGGTGAAGAAAACAATGAAATCCATCAGTTGAGGACAACAGTCTTATTACTTTGTAGTACCACGATAAAGGAAAAGTCTGGTCATTATAAGGGAGAATTTATTTGTCAACGGGATAAAAGTGACACGGTTACTTTGACGTTTTCTTCAGATCCACAAAAGCTTACAACTCTGCAGTCGTAACTAAATTAGTTATGACTGCACTCTTCTTTTAGAAACCTTTCTCATACATTCGGTGTCTTGGCATTAGTATGACTTTTTGTTGCCTTATTTGCAGTTTTGTTCTCCAATATTCTGTTTTCTTGCAGAGCGAGAGAAGCTTTGATGCTCAGAGAGGATCTGATGAAGTCACGACAGGCTGAACGGTTGGCCAAACAAAAGCTGGTAGAAGTGACAACGTCACCAGATGTATTTTCTGTAAGTACAGTGCTGCTAGGCACGCAACGTGTGCGAAACGCGTGATGCGTGAACTGGGCTGCCGTTGTCAACTGCAGGCATTTTGTAGTCGAGGAAAGAAATAAGTCTGTTATCACTGTTTTAGTCATTCAAACAATGTAAATTTATTGCAATCTTTGAAAATGCTCATTACGTGGGAATCTTGCACTGGTAAGCAATGACTGAGCCCCGTTCGGTTTTTGTACCTTTTCACTCCTATCGTAAAGTTCGGTAGCATGGGAAATCCACTCAAGTATTAGCGTACACAACACATTTTTAAAAGTGCTACAACATGGTGTTACCAAACAATGATTGCCTTATTTTCCAGAGGTACAGTGATCCTAGGGAAATAATTGCTGATATTGACCGCAGCGTGGAACAGTTAACAGATGGGGAGGTTTCTCAGCTGTCGCGAGAGTACGAAAGAGAAAGGTAAGGATGAATCTATGACATTCCGTCTCGTAGAATTTTCAAATTTTAAAATATTAGCCTCTGCCGGTTTGATTTTCCTGAATGCATTCTTGACTTTATTCTTTAGCCGGAATAGATTGCGTGGCAAATTAATTGTAGGAATGAGGCTAGTCACCTACGGGACGATAACAATAGCGGATCCAGATGGCTCAAAGTGGAGGATAAGAGGGACCATGTGAAGATACCATGAACTTTTCTTGTTTAAGGGAGGAGGGGTGCTAGGGAGACGATCAGTGGGGTGGGGATGGGGTTGGACGGAAAAAGCCCTTTAAGCGTTATATTTTCCAACAGAATAGAGGGACACCCTGGCCCCCTCCGCCAGATCTGCTACTGAATAGCCAACCAAGTTAAGGATTGGAAACATTCATGATTATTAATTATAAAACTTTTATTTCTTTTAGACATAGAAACATTCAGCAACAGCTTCGGGATCTCAAGTCCCAGATGGAGGTAACAAGTTTTCTATTTACTTTACCTCTCCTTTATCTCTGTCCTGTTGTAAGGTAACAGCTTAAGTTTGTTAGTAATAGCGTTTTCTTCAGTTTTCACGTGCCATCTATCTGGGTTTTTCAGGGATTAAAGATTGATGATAGACAAACGCGTTGGGATTATATTCACGACGAAAATCTTAGACGCGGGGAAAATAAATACTCTACGTTACAGAAAGTAAGTGACTTGTAATTCTTCAGTTCTAAAGTAGCAATCATAATCTGTATAACAAGCTGTTCGCTGCTTGAAGTAATGCTCCAAAGGAACAGCAAGGTTACTCGTCCATTAGACTCTAGCTCTTGGTGACGATGAGCTTTCATCTGTTGTTGTAAACATCTATTTTCGTCAGAAACCCATTTGTCTTCAGAGAGAGCTTGCTTTTGGTTCCATTTTGACTCCCCCCGCCCCCCCCCCCGCAAAAAAGGGGGAAAAAAGTTAAAAACTTTCATTTTTAATTAGCATTTACAACTTTTACCGTTTTCAACGAAAAGTCGACACATAATACAAGTCAGAGAGGAGGATATTTTACTCTTATACTCGAGCTTCCTCTTGGTGGTAAGGATGATAATGGAATTGATTAACAAGCGGAAATTGTCTTGTTGTGCCATAACGGGCGGGGAAGGGGGGCGGAGGGTTAGAAGCAATAATGGCCCAGATAATTGAACAGGCTTATTTTCAAGGCTCAGCGTTATGTCAAAGCAACTCGGAAGAGGGTTAATGCCCAGGGGAAATTTTTGAGTCCGGAGAAAGGAGCTAAGAAATGGCGATAAAAGTTTTTCCGAAAAGTTTTAGAACACTGACATCTTGGTCCATTAAGTCACTATGCAATTTCTCTTTTCTTTCCAAACATCGTTTCAATATTTCGGTTATGTGCGATACCTTCATTTGATTCATTTTCAGTAATGGTACGTTCCTTGTTGTTTTTACAGATTCAAACTGGAACATCTACAGCAAGAATTCAGTTTTTTGAAGAGTTATGAAAGAGAAGTTTCCCTGGTCTCTCAAGTAATCCTGATGCAAGAGAAAAGAGTACAGACATTCTCCTAATATTTAATTCATTCCTTGACTGAGATATTTAATCCAGATTTCATAAGAAGTCATATCCACCGAGAGAAACTCATAAAAAGAGTCAAATTTCAGTAGACAGCGAAAGTCGGTTTTAGCCTCAGTCACGTGAGACTTATCAGAGCCTCCCGAACGTGTTATGATAATGATACAATACAGTAAATCATCGCTATCTGAAACTCCATTATCTCGAACTCCCCGCCATTCTTGAACCCAAATCACTGTCCCTTAGTATACTTTTCAGTCACTTACTATCGGTTCGAAGCC